TTTTTTAAATAATCAGAACACTCATTGGACTCATCTGAAAGCCCACAATTAATCAAGTTTAACGTTCAACAATTTTTTCTGTTCAGCAATGCAAGTAAATAACTGTAGTTTGGCATCTTACTAATGATAATAATAATTTGCTTTACTATGCTTTCTGCTTAAAAAAACAGTGAGTTTTATTGCTGAAAACGCTGCTTTACCAGGAAATAACCGAGCTGCCCTCTGCTACGCAAGATGACCAACAAAGGAAGTACAGATTTAGTGTTTTGCTCAAGGATACATTAGCCTGAAAGATGCTTGGCAACAACAGAGTGCTACATTAATGCAAGTTAGGATAGCCATGAAGGGAAGATGAAGATGATGTAGTCGAGGATGGTAAATTTGCACTAGGTATTGCACAAGGGGAAAAAAAACATTTACCATAAGTGCAACTGGGGGGAAAAGAGTGAGTTAGATAGATGCTATACTGATTTTAAATGTAAGGGCAAAAAGAACAGTGGATCAGTTGGAATATTTACCCTCTAAACTGAACTGTGTTGATATAAAAAGGAGAATAATGAAATTTCATAGAAGGAAAAACCTGTATATCATGCTGCAAAAACATCTGTGTGCTGACATGAAGAAACACATCTACATTTACATATAAAAGATGAACACGTATTCCTGTGTCAGTATTTTTGGAACCGCAGTACAGAAACTCTTTGCCAAAAAACAACCTGTGATTACAAATCCAATTATTTTATCTATTTCTGTGATGTGACTATGATTACAGTAAAAAACATTAACAACGCTGATGACTGGACAATAACGATAATGAACTATGATGATGTTGATGACTGTGATGGCGATAGTAACAACGATGATGGTAATAACATGACGGTGATTTCATCTGCCATCACAAATAGTGTCAAACTGATGAGGCAGTTCCTCATTCACACTGTCTCCACGGTTACCGGGTCCTTTCTCATTCATAAGTGTTTCCATGGCAACAGGGACCTTGGCTCATTGATAGAATCTCTGTATCACCTTGGTAACAGGGCCAAGGGAGGAGCTAGATTGATTGTTTTTTTGTTTTGTTTTGTTTTTTTCGTCTTCTTTTCTATTTAATGTAAATGTTTTGCAGCTTACATGCAGGGCTGCACATCTGCACACCAATACATGCAAAAACACCCGTGCACACGGATGCACGCATCTGCACAGCAAATGGGTGTTGGTTGAAGCTTAAACATACTGAGAGAAAATAATTTTATTCAAGTGTGCACAATGGAAACTGGGTCATTTGGAATAATCAATGGAAAACAATTTCTTCCCTGCCAGGAACAGATGCTCTCTACTGTACATCTTTAAATTCACACACAGAATGCACACACACCTGCATTTAAGTAAAAGGAGAGCAAATGGTTAAGGGGAATCAGATGAAGCAACATCGCTATAACAAAAACCTCATCTCTCCACTTCTGATGAGAAACCAACGCATTATACAAACAACATTTATCCCTGCTATCGCCCTCTGCAGCTTCCTGCTGACTTCAGCTAAAATCCAGCTAAATATCTCTGTCCACATCACTGACTGAATCTCACCATCTCTGCTCCAAGCTCTCCTGTTATCTGTCCTTGTCTCCTTGGTTGCATCTGTGACTATGATTCAAATATTTTGCATTGAATGCACCAGTATGCTTTTTAATGTTTTTATAACATCAATAAAATATTAAGTGTCTCTTGAGCCAGCAATCAGACCTCGACGATTAGCTGACACTCAGAATTTCTCCCAGAATTCACAAGAGCCCACGTCTCCTGCCGCAGGTGGACCGGGAGATCCATTGTAGGGAAAAGAGACCAAAGCCAGACCAAGCTGATAATTTACTGGCTGATCTGGGTTTCTATTCTCACCTATGGCAATGTGGAGAAAAGGATTGCAGATACACACAAAATGCTTGATCCTCAGAGATAGGGTGAGTAGCGCAGTCACTCAAAAGGGGCTTAAAGTACAGCACTGTCCTACACAAGAAAGGAGCCAGTTGTGGTGGGTTTAGCATTTGAATAGAATGCCTCTTAGATGCCTCTTAGGTGAGTTATTCTGGGCATGTTCAACAGGGAAAAGACCCCAGGGTAGACCCAAGACACACGGGAAAGAACATTTTTCTCAACTGGCTTGGAAGCACATTGGTATGCCCCTCGTTCCTCAAAGAGCTGGTGGCAGTGACAGTGGAGAGGGACATTTGAGCAGATTTTGACAGTTCTGCTTAGACTGCACATAAATTTTCATTGCATTCATTTCTTCTTTTATAATGAAATTCCCTTTAATAAATTGTAAACTGTGGGAATAAAGCATCACATACAGCTTTGCATTAGTCTGGTAAGCACAATTCTAGACACTTTTTTTTTTTTTAAATGGGGAGGTAGTACCTCTAGACCGCCCTAGACAGTATTTAATTATCTGAATGTTAAAGCTGCAGGAAATTGCAATAACTTCAAAACACATTTTAAACAGGAAGGCATACTCCTTAGGGATGGTGCAGTTTTGCAGTGGGTAGCACAGTCACCTTAGAGCATGGAGGTTTCTGGCCAGCTCGGTCCCTTCTGTGTGGAGTATTACACAATTCTGCTCAGGAAGCTCACAATGAAAACTAGAAAATGCATTTTCTGAAGAAACTGCAGTGTGGATGTTGATAGCTGAATGTTTTGAGCTGAAATGAAATAATTGCTGAATGTTAAGTTAAAAATGTTGAATGAGCTGAAAAATACAGAATTTTTCACCTGAAAACAAAAGTGCAGAACTGTTGAAAGCTGACGTTCACACATAAAAAGTTGAAAAATAGCTTAACATGGTTAAAATGTAAATTAGGAAAACCTGAGTTATGACAAAAGAAAATTCAGAGTCATAAAACATCTGAATGAATAATGAAACCTCATATTATTTAAATCACTGAATGATTAAAATGTGGGAAAGTCCACTAAAGATAGGTAAATCCTGTAAGTTTTGATCGTCCAGTCAGAAAAGATGATTCTAAAAGTCATCATCTGACTTCAAATGCCCAGATCTGAACCACCTGTGTGTAGAAGACAAATCCACCAATGAACAATAAGCTTGAATTTAATGGGACAACCAGATTGCTCAATCCAGTTGACTACTGATATGCTTATTACAGTGTGCAAAACCCTGTCAAATCTGAAAAACTGCTTCTAAATCGAAGACCCTAAGTCCTGTCAAAATCAGTTTTGAACTGCAATGATCCCAAGGAATTGTTCTACACAACAGTGTGTTCTTTATGTTCCTGTTGTCAAAATGCGATGACAGGAAAGATTTAACAAGTGGGGTCTTTCCTGCTGTTGAGACAAACTCCTGACTAAAAATACAGTGTATTTATATGGGTTGGTTAGAATGTTATCCATCTACTTGGATTCACACAGTTCAAAATGTTTACATCTCTGAGCTTTGAAAGACACACTGTTGGAAAGAGAACAACGATGGCTACGTTTTAAGGGTCAAATGATGGCTGTAGAGCAAACACTGTGGACCACAGCAGCAGTTGAAAGAGAAGTGTTTAAGATTAATCTTGGCAGAGTGGCAGACAGAGCTCGTTAAGCAGACAGGTGTGAGCCTGGTTGCTATAGAGACTGCACCCAGTGGCACCACACACACACAGACACGTGCCTCTCGTCTGCTGCTTTAAATAAACAGAAAGTGACCCCGAAACAAATGCTTCCCAAGAAAAAACTACAAGTCGTATTGACAAAATTCTTTCACCGTAAGCGCCAGCAATGTCCAGTCTAAAAAATTCTCAGTTTTCATGCCTGTGGAGTTTATTATATGGATGTGGTGACAGTGTAAAGACAGCCTGTACTTCTGATTTTCAGACGAATTTTGGGAGCATTTATAATATTGGAGTCTATGGAAGAGTTGCAGGGAGGAGGCTATGAATTCTTGACATTTACGAAAGAACCATAACATCTATTACTAATGACTGAAATAGTAGTTCTAGCTTCATTCATTTTTTATGCTTTCTTTTAGCTGTTGAATCTAATCAAAAAGTCCTAACACGGGTACAGGAAAGCAAAAGAAAGAAGAGGATGCAATGCAAGAACAGCTGTAAATTAAATGTAACTAGGCTAATAATCAATAGTGGGTGTAGAAAAACAAACAAAGAAACAAACGAATCCAACCAGCTTATTTTCACTGTCAAGCCACTCTGACAATTAACTACAACACACAGGTCAACACCCACAAATGAGACGACTCGGAACAAGACCGTAGAGTAAATAGCTAATCTCGGTGATGTATTCAGACATGTTAAGTGCTATTTGTGTGTTTGTCTTTGTATGTGTTTGAAGAGAGCGCCAGCAAGTGCAGGGAGGGCGAGCAGGACACGGAAAAGAATGTTTGAAGTGGAAATGTCTGGCCGTGTGTGTGTGCGCGCGCCCATGTGGTCACTGTGTTATCAAAGGTTTCCACCAAAGGTTGATAGAAAGGCCAAGTAGCCTTTCATCTTCAAAGAGCTGGACTGCTAAAAACACACTGGCCATTCATAGAAAGCACAACAAAGAACGAGTGCGCCACATGTGTGCAAAATGTATTGACTGCAGGCAGCGTCCTCAATGCATCATGGGAATGTACTATGTGTGTACACTATGTGCTGCTCAGTAAATATTGCTATATACCACAGCTGGTTGACAGGGAGGGTTACAGCGTGATGGCTGCTGTTTAGGCTATACACCAATGTGGTTGTTTCTTCGAGAAATAATCCCTGAATCTGATCATTTCACGCCTCCATCCATCCATCCACCCATCCATCAATTTACTTAGCAGCAGATGGGGTGGAGCTGGTGACACCCAGATGACACTGGGGAGAAGCACAGCTGTCAATCAATGACAAGGTTTTCACCATTTTTAATTAAATCCACAGCTACAGCCCAGAGTATGCAAAGAAAACCTGCACAGACACAAGAAAAAAGTGCAAACTGCACTCAGAAAGGCTTCGACCAACCACCACCTTTGTATCAAATCATTATTGTTGTAAGGTGACAGTGCTGACCCCTGTGTTGCCCTAACTTCACACCTGAACCTGCAAAACAGTAGCTCATAATGTATCAGACACTCAGCACAGCATCATTGCCATTGGATTTTCATGGGTGATTTGTCAGGTCTAGAACAAGACTGCTTATGATGCACTTGTCAGTCATCTGTTAGTGATGGACTCGCTGTGAAACTCCACTCGTTAATGCTGATGTTTTTTTTTAATTTGTTTGTTTTGTTGTTGCTGTTATTTATTGACCCCTTTTCTGAGAAGTCAACAAAAAATCATTGCAAATAAATAACCATCTTGAAGTCTTGCAACTCTTTGTCAAGCTATTGTTGAATAAAATCCTACATGTTTATGACACTAAATTCCAAATAGGGCCACAAAACCACTTGGATAAAATAGATGTCATTAATGAAGGCCATTATGTTTAGAAAGGGTAGTCAACAAGGCTAATATATGCTGATAAAATAGTGCATACATAATCCATTCAAACAAATCTAGCTTTTTTTTTTTCCAATGTGTGCCATTTAACAGTGATTGCCCTGAGGTCATCAGATAACACTTCTTCTTTTGGCCGCTCCCTTTAGAGGGTCAGCATAGTAGATCATCTGCTTCCATCTCATCCTAACCCTTGCATCCTTTTCTCTTACACCAACCGTCTGCATAAGTCTTCCTCTGATATTCCTCTTTTCCTCCTGCCTGGCATCTTTATTGTCAACATCCTTTGTCTGGTATATCCACGATCCCTCCACTGCACATGTCCAGATTTACCTCTCTAACTTTCTCTTCAAACTGCTCAACCTGAGCTATCCCCCTGATACACTCCTTTCTAATCTTGTCTTCCCCCAATGACAATTCACTTGAGAATAATCTACCAACAGATCGAGTGGTAAAATAGAAAAAATTGGCAAAAGAAATCAAAGATCAGCTTTAAGGACATTCTTGTTTCCTTCTGTTGTACCTCCTTATCCTCTCGGCATTTCACTACTTCCTGCTGTCATGCTGACACTTGTCTTCTCACCTCTCTTCTCTGTTTCAGTCGCTCTATCGCACCATGCTGAGAGGAACTTGGCTTCGTGATTGCTCTTATTAAAGCATAAGGACATACTGCTGCACTGGGTGTCTGCTCAGTGCATGTGTGGTGTCCTTGTGCAAGACAGAGACATTTGGGCAGAAAGGAGCAATCACTGGATTCACCGGTTGCTTCGTCTACCCCATGAAGTCCCCACCATTCACCCCATGCACACACAAGTGGACATAATCCCCTCAACATGATAATCTGTGCCACCACTCCCAAACAGCGACATGATTGTATTGCTGCTAGAATTTGCAAAGTTGTTAAGAAACAACTTTTAAATAGATTTCAAAAATAAATTATCAACCAGTTTACTTTTTTTTTTTTTAGCTTTCTTGCAGTTTTTATGTTTTGCAGGTAATTTGCGCTTCAGTTGAACATCAACAGTGAGACATGCAAACACTGTCGTTTGTTAATGCATCACTCATGCATCGCATTCATCTGTGTCACATCAGCCTGCAGCGTCACACAGGTGTGTAGCAGTGGTAGATACATAAAAGAGGCTTACTGTGTCTTTAAAGAAACACGAAGGATAGCAGGAATGACATTTGACAGTCAGCTTAAATGATGGATTAACAGATGGATGCGTCGGGAAAACAGAATCTAGCACAGACAAATGAGCAAGAATGTAAAATGTAAACCCATTTGAATGTGTGTAGACGCCATCATCCGCTTCTCTTCTCTGTCTTTCATTTCTGTCAATCAAACCTATTATCTAATGTCTCTGGTCTTTTCATGTGAGATATAATCTAATAAGTGAAGGCAATAGTAAATCCATCATTTTAATCCCATCATGTCTGAACTCGGCCTTGTTGACACCGTTTCTGTGACAGGTTTCAGGTTGCATTCCATCGCTTCCCTTTGCCCTCGTCTTCACCTTCTCGTTGAATGTTCAAATCAAATATCTTATTTACTCATTCCCCTTTCTTACATTGTCTCTTTCCATTCATTCCTACTGTGTCTCTCTTTCTATTGAGGTAGCGGCACCTGCATTTTTTCTTGCCTTCTCTCCAGTGCTGCTTCCCCCTGTGCTCCCCACCCCTTCTGTCGCTGTCTATATTGTGGTGACATTTGTTCACTACCCAGGCTGCTGGCTGCCTGCAGTTCTGCTCTGTGATCTGACTGCTGCCTTGCCCAGAATGGGGCCTTTCATTAGGTCAAAGGAGCAGGAAAAGGACACTTGCACACATACATGCATACAAACATACTAAAACACATGACAGATTTTGACATGCTGTTGGAAAATCCTTTGTTATGTTTGAGTTTAGTCAGGCACACATTTAGATCTGACTAAAGGTTACATACTGTATTATGTATGTATGTGTCTGTGCTTGGCTCATATACATTTGCTTAATACTCACCCTGTGAGCACTACGACAAAGTCCATCACGTTCCATCCGTTTCTCAGGTAAGAGTTCTTGTGGAAGGCAAAACCAAGCGCCAGGATCTTTATTCCCGACTCAAAACAGAAGATTCCTATGAAATACGGCTCTGTATCATCCTGGGGAGCACAAGAGAAAACAAGCAAAGGAGGAGTGGAAAGACAGGAGAGAGGAAAAGCAGGAAAGGTTATGATGGTTTGAAAGGCACAGAAAGACAAAGTAAGTTAGCTGGCAGTTGGCGAATGAGTTTCAGAAGTATTTTTGCAAATAGTCTCATGTGCCAAATAAATTTAAAAAAATAAATAAAAAATTATCTCACAAATATACAACTATCACCTGAATTTAATTGCATTTACATGTATAACACATGCAATTTTGTCTTGGTTATTCAGCTTACCAGGCGTTCTGAGAGCGGCGTCTTGTCCCCATCAGGCAAATGTTGTTCCAGAGCCAAGACAATGCAGTTGGCAATGATGGTGGCTAGAATCATCCACTCAAATGGAGTGAGGAAGTTCAGTGAAGGAACAAATCTTTTTTAATTGAACCACAAACCACCACATTAATTGCTTGTTAACACAAATATCTCATCACCCTGTCACACGGGAGTGATGCAGCTGAAGCCCTTACTGAAATGCCCAAGTGAGCATCATTTAAACAAGATAAAAGCTCAGATCAACTCAAACTGGTTGCTTGAACAAGACAATCAGTTCATACGTACTCCATAGTCACCACACCTTAATCCAGAGGTTCCCAAAGTGTGGGGTCCGCCCCCCTTGCGGGGGGGGGCGTGGTATTTTTCTTGTAAAACAAAGGGGGGCCTAGCAAAAAAAGTTTGGGAACCACTGCCTTAATCCAACAGAGCACAGTTGGATAGTTGGATAGTTATTTAAAAGTGTTACAAATAATGTGCAAATTTACACGTACTAGGTCAGGAGTTGCTATTATCATCTTGCCATTGTGGCAAGAACAGAGCAGCACCAACAGAAAAGTAAAAAATTGCAGCACTGCCTTGTTGGACAGATTCACTTATAACATACTGAGCTAATTTACCTGGCCTGCTAAAAACGTCAGGGCAAATTAAGGGATAATATAGAAAACATCCCTACCCTAACATGAAAGGTCAAAAGGAAGGTCAAATATATATGCAGTTTGAATTCACTGAGTGTAAGCAAGTGTGAAAAGAAAATATAGCAACTCTATCTCAAATGGACCACAGTCTGGCTTCTCTCTGCCACTATTTACCCACACAAATACACACACACACCCACAAGCCATCATTATGAGTCAGTTAAATATGTTCTGCTAAGTATATTTTCTGATAACACACCACCCACACGGACAAGCAAAACAAAGATACACTTTAATATAGCCTGTGTCTTTTTGTGTAAGTGTGTGATAACCAGTGCTGGGCAAGTTACTTTGAAAAAGTAATTAATTATAGTTCCTAATTACTTCTTCAAAAAAGTAACTGCGTTAAAAGATACTAAAAGTATTTAATTACTTGGAAAGTAACTATTACATTACTTGTTTATTGTTTATTGAATCATATTTCATAACTTTAAATGCAAATTAAATTGTCAATTTGAAAATCATAAGCACAAGTTTCACAAACAACAAGTTATTTGCAGCCATTTACCTTTTACCTTTAAATGGTTTTTATTACCATTTCAAACTATTTACACAACAATCAGCTGTTCTGCATTCAATAAGATGCCACACAAATTATTTGTGCCACTCCAAAAAAATAATTTCTGTCCACTATAAAGGAGAACATCACAGCCTGATCCCTGCAGGCCTGACAGCAGCAGGTGTATCACTCCTGTTTGTTTGTTTTTTACCTGGAGACAGCAGTCGCCTCATTGTTCTGACACACAACACCAAACTATCCACAACACTACACACTAACTACACAAGACAACACATTAACTACACACTCCAAACATGCTAAATGTCACAAATCGCTCACATCTCAAAGCTGGCTCTCTCTCTTTTTCTTTCTCTCTCTCTCTCTTTCTTGCCGCCTGTCACTCCTAAAACTTCCCCCTCTTCCTAAACAACCAAAAGTCACGTTGCCATACCTTTTTTTGATTGGTCGACAAGGTACATTTTTCCACCAACACGAAAGGGCGTTTTTTTGTTTGTTTTTTGGGGGTCATAAGCAGAGAGTGCTTGCTAGCGCTGTCCTTAGACAGTAAACGTGACGAAACTATTGAGGAAAAAACTCAGCATATATTGTTTATCATGACTCTGGTTTTACGTGGCCTATCAACACAATTTAAACACTGGTATATATCACCTTGTTGCTTTGTCATCTTAAAGTGGTCATGTGATTGGCTTACCACGACTACTTTAGTGTTCCTGAGTCAAACAGAAGCACTCATGCGATTGTTTTGCCCCCTTAGCTCCAGCTGTTGTACCAAAAAGTGATCGTCGGTCAGAAAGTGATTGCCGCCCGCGGGAGCACGCACAGCTGCTTAAAGCTGTGGCGCCCAGATTACTTACAGCTATTTCCATGCAACTGATATAAGATGCAGTAAACTGAACACAGCTTCAGCCGTCTGTTTGTTGAAAAATAGTAACGCGACCGCACTGCATTTTCTTGTTAGTAACGGTATCGGCGTTGTAACTATAGAAATAGTAATCAGTTAGATTAGTTAGTAACGCCGTTACTTGTAACGCCGTTATTCCCATCACTGATGATAACATGCCTGGGCACTGACTGAGGCTTATTGTGGCATCACCATTTGGCTCTCAGTATGTAGCAACAGAAATTGAGCCAGAGATAGGGAGAGAGAGAGAGGGAGTACCTTATTACATATATCTAAATCGTTCTTTTTTCTCTAACACACAAACACGCCCACACATCCAGACACACAAATGCACACACAGGCCGAGTCTTCCCTAGTTAGTGCCTCTATCTCATTAAAATCATGGGATAAATTATTACATTTAAAGGAATCAAGTAAACAGACTAAGAAAAAAAGTGATCAGAGGACCAAAAGAAGTAACTAAAGTAGAAAAATCACACTGTGTATAAATATACACAAAACGCATGGTCGAAATCTATTCCTTCCCTTTCTTCGTCACCTTTTTTTCCTACTTTCATGCTTCCTTTGGGAGCAGCCATTCCCATGGCAGGGATGGGAGGGGAAAACTGAACAATGAAAAGATAGAAAGGGCGAAGAAGCTATTTATAGAACATTCATCATATGTTTAATGTATGTGAGTGTCTATGTGTGCTGAGATCGTGTGCATGTGCTTGACCACTTTTCACACATTACTAGAAAACCCAAGGCGCTGTTCAATTAGCCTCCTTGCTCCCAGCTATGCATATAAATGTATGTATACACATGTAAATGTGTTAATCCGTGACAGTGCATGAATGTAGCTGAGTGAAAAGGGGAAAGAGAGAGAACCTGAACCTTTATATCTATTAGCCACATTAGTCTTCTGTTATCATTACGGCAGCGGCTAGTGGCCAGGGCAAAATATAAAATAATAACGCTAATGTTGGAGGAAAACGTTATCAGTCCTGTCCATCTGTTAACGTTTTTGAACAGTGTTAATTTAACAGGGTGATGCAACTATTTGTGTCTAAAATCTCTCTTAAAGTCTGAGATCGAAGTTATGAAAAGTGTCAAAACAACTAGACATAAACAGTGGCTCCCTTAACAGCTCTTAACAGGTAAGTCAAGAGAAGCACTACCTCAGACAAAATATATATGTATATATA